AGGTCCCCGCTGTCACGCGGTCACCCTTCCTGCCTCACCTTCCTCTGGCGTGGCAGGACTGCCAAATGGTCATGAGGAGACAGAGGTGAGACGGGCTGGAAATGAGGCTTGCCCGCACTGTGTGCATCGAGTCTGGCTGCGTCAGTGTGCTGCGCGGAGGGGAGTCCCCTCAGGGAGCCATGTGGACCCCATCACAGGGTCAGCCGCCCACCTGGCTCCCCACAAGTCCTGGTGGAGCAGGAACAGGAGCCCCTGCTTCAGCGCCCAAATGAGAAAGGCATGGCCCCCCCCACTCCTGGTTCCATCTCCCAAAAATGCCGTCCCCCTACAGTCACCAGTCACAGACACCCAGAAACCACTTCCAGGAAGGTGATCTCAGAGGTCAGGGTTTCCCCCGCTCTGGCACCCACCCCAGGGCCTGGCGGCAGGAGGTCGGGGTGGGGCACGAAGCAGAGGCAGAGGAGAAGCCCCAGGGAGCAGAGAGACTGGCTGGGGTGGGGTGGGGGCTGCAAAGCCCTAGGAGGAGATTCTAGGCTGGGGTTTGCATGGAGAGGCAGAGGGAGAGGTGGGCGGGAGGGGCTGGCGGCAGAGCAGGGGTGCAGGAGGCCTTCTGGCTCAGGGTGGGGAGGACAGTTGGGGAGAAGCCCCAGGCCCCCGTCCGTCCCTCTCACCCCGTGGCCGCAGAGCCTGGCAGTGCCGGGCCCAGGGCCGCTGTTATGCCTGGTGCCTCCCGTCAGGGCAGGCGCATGCGGGCATGGTGTGCTCAGTGGAGGCTCATGTTTTGAGTGAAAACCTTGTGTTCATGCCATCTGCTTCCAAGCTGTGACCCTCCCTGTGTCCCTTACCTGGGGATGTACCTCACCGACCTGGCCTTCATCGAGGAGGGGACGCCCAACTACACGGAGGACGGCCTGGTCAACTTCTCCAAGATGAGAATGGTGCGTTTCCCACAGCGGAGTGGGGCGGGGGTCGTCTCCAGGTAGGGCGCACGGGCTTGGCCGACGGGAACCGTGCCTCCGGTCAACAAGCGGTTAGCACCTGGCCGACCAAGTCAGCTTTACTGTACCTCCTCCTGTAATATCCAGTCGAGGGTCGGGGGGGGGGAGTTGGATGCTCACGGCATCCTCCACTTTACAGAGGACACAGAGGCTGGAGGCTCCAAGACCAGCCGAGGTCGCCCCTAAGTCAAGGCAGAGCCGGGTCGAGAGCCCTGTCTGTCTGACTCCGAAACCCATGCCTTCATTTGCACCCCATCCAATCTGTCCACATAAACACATGCTTTATGTGGCCCCACAGTCACTTAGGCAGCAGCTCCCAAGCCAGTAGGTGTCAAATTTCCCCAGAACCTGGGACCTGGGAGCCAGGAGCCTGGCTTCTACCACCCCCTCTCCCCTCTGCACTTGAACCAGAGAGCCTCTGCTTGCATCGGTTTTGTAAGAGGCTCCACCTAAGATTTTGTTTACTAGGAAGGGTTTCTCTGTGGAACGCAGGTTGGGAGCCCTGTCCTAGGGACGGGGGGCACTTAGAAGGCGGCAGACACTTCTACCTTGCTGGGGGCACAGGTGGGTGCTGCTGCCTAGGTCCGCTGCTCAAACCGTACTGTGTCTCTCAGTCACATGCATAATTAACCTGTAGATTCGTGACAAGTGGCACCCTTGGGAGCAGACTGCCAGTTCAAAGGAAACTAGGTGCCTCCACGGGGCCTCCTGGAGCAACGTGTGTGGGAATCAGACATGCTGTCACCGCCCGTCTGTCCCTGAGGAGTGGGGGGCGGCACGAAGGAGCAGTCTGTCTTTACCTAGAGCTCTCCTTCTTTCCGACAGATATCCCATATTATCCGAGAGATTCGCCAGTTTCAACAAACCGCCTACAAAATAGAACATCAGGCAAAGGTAAGTGCGGCATTCTCGCAGTCACCTCCGCCTTTGCCCAGGTGCCCTGTGTGCCACGTGTGTGTGTGCCGCTCCTGGGAGCTGAACCGCAGCAGGGTCGGCCACCGTGTCTGATCTGCCTGAAGACACTCTGGCCAGCCTTTACACCATCACTTTGAAAGGCGACACGCTCAACTGGGGCACATGCCGCACATGGTGAAGGGTCCCCCCGCCCCCTCCACTTCTGTGTCTGTGCAAACACAAGCAAACATCTTCCCAAATAACACAGGTCAGGGGTCGTGTACTGAGCAGAGTGCCTTCATTCTTCCTTCCAGCTGCAGGGAAAGCCATTATCTAGCCAGTCCTCTATGGACATTTAGGTGGTTAGTCTTTTGACGCTAAAGACAAGGGGAGAAATGAACTGCCTGATAGCACAGGATATGGAGGGTGCTGACAGTGTGAACCCCGAGCCTGTGCCTTCGGGGCTGCAGAGAGCACCTGGGGGGAGACCCCGCTGGGGCAGCGCACAGGTGGAGGAGCCCTCTGAGGGAGCGGAGACCAGAGTACTGCAGGGAGTAGCCCCGGAGAGGCCTGAACCAGATGGGATGTGGGCTCCTGGGACCCGGGAGCTTGTCCTGAGGACAACAGGGAGCCCTGAGAGGGGCTTGCAGAGCTGGGCTCACTGTGAGTAGGTGGCGAGGCCGTCTGGAGAGCAGTTGGCGTTAGTCGCATTTCACTCTTCAAACCCGGGCCGTTGGCCCCAGTGTTCAGATAACACAACCGAGCGTGGCTCCCAATCCCGTGACCTTGTTCTCTGCCTAGAGAGCTATTTACTTTATATCCAGCATCTTAACGTGCTAGTTTGCAGCTCACAAAATTATCCAGCTCCAGACACACCCCAAGCACACCGGAAAATCGAACTCTTACTGGGTCTCCTTGCCACTCTCCTCGGTAATAGCTTTGCCCTGTAAGAATCTATCTGTGTTCTGCCATGATCTGTGATCTCGGAATCTGACTGACAGCTGCTCGCTGTATTAGAGAAAAAAATCAGGAGGCTAGCCACTTGGGCCACCTTTCCCTTGCTCTTTATCCCCTCGCTCAATCTGCAAACGTTTATTGAACACGTACGATGTGCCAGGCAGTGCACTGGGCCTCGGGCCCCTTCTCCTTAAACTCCCTCAAGCTCTGATGTGCAATATTTTAGATAAACGTCACTGCTCCTCGCGTCCTTTCACCAGCGGCTTAGCAGTGGTGGTGTTGCTGCCAGCCTCCTGCTGAAACAGAACTCTTTAGGAAAATTCATCTTGAGCATTGCTCATTCTGGAGGAAGGTTTGGGGGGGTCCAGAC